AGTGTAGACAGACTTTGGGGCCGTTCACATGTCGCGCCTAAAAACGCGTGGAAAACACCAACCGCGCCGCTTTCTCCTTCTTTCCAAAGCGTTCGGGATCTTGCGCTTTCATGGCGTCTGCCGTTGCTAAGAGACCGTGACCTGCGCTCTCCACGACGACGCGGAAGTTTCAACAAAGGATAAATGGATTTCCAGCACTGAAAATCGCTTGCAGTAGGTCTGCTACTAAATTTATTTAAAATAGGTATCTCTGTACAGCTGTCACGTCCGGTGTAGACACCGTATCAGTGTGTGAGCAAAGAAAACGATCAGAATAAATATAACGATCAGTATACTAAACATCGCACATCCTGCGATGTGACTATCGCGGATGAGCACATCGCGATATCGATGCTGAAACGATATATCGTGCAGCCCTATTAAAAAGGACAGCATTTATTTGAAACGCCAATCTATTGTAGCATCAAATGTGTTTACTGTCATTTTTGATCCATCTGACACATCCTTGGCTAAAAAAAAAATAATAAATACTATTCTTACTGACGAAACTTTTGAACTGTAGTGTATGAGAGGTTGAGTAAACAATAATTGTCACTTTTTTGTGAACCAAACTTTCAAAGAGTAAAAATGTGTGTGTGCGTGTGTCTCACCAGTTTGAGCTGAAGCAGAAGCTGGTAAACATCAGCCATGTCTGCCAGTACAAGCAGATGAGTGACAGCAGAAAGAAGGGCACGTGCAGCACGGACCATGTTGCCTCTCTTCATTGAAGAACAGGGATCCTCTGCAAACTCTCCTGAGGCCAACTTCATGGATTCTCCTACAAAAAAAAATTCATACATAGTCTCATTAATAGTTTTAATTTGTCCTTTCATAGCCTTTATGATGCAAGAGTAGCAAGGTCAATGAAATGATCATTTCCCAATGTGGAAGTTGACATAACAGATAATTCAACATCTGAAGATGCAATTACTTCCAAAGAGGCCTTTTGAAATGCTAAAGACTGGGACCTAATTATTCTCCGTTATTTTATTAAAAGCCGCTTCAGTTAATTGACAATGATAATACCGTCCAAGGTCACTTGCGAGACAACACGAACACATAAGAACACAACGTACAGGAGGTTCTTTAGTGGCAACCCGGCCTTACAAACCCAAGTAAACAATGAGCACGACAGGGGAAAAACATCAATAATTCCCTGTAACAAAGAGCTACATGGTGAGCTGTGAAACTTAAACCAAGAATTCAGGCAGTAGGTCTGCCTCAGCCACCCTCAACCCTCTACACTGCGAGTAAATCACTCGCATATGCGACTAAATCTTACTCTGGGCGACTAAATAATGTCTAACATTAGCCATTGGCTAATAAATTCTTAGATTTTACACGCCAGTATGTGTGTGAGAGGCGTTCAACACAGATTTTCACTCGATAAACACGCTGACTGAGCGCTTGAGAGTTTCGCTCTCCGTCAAGCGATCTGTACTATTGTATAACTATCTGTATATAAAAACAATAGAAGTCTATGTAATGTCCCCATTTAGTGTGTGTGTATGTGAAAAATAGTATATCAGTCTGGCGAGTAAACAAAAAAATTTACTAGCCAATGGCGATTATATTGCCAAGGTGTGCGTAGAGGGTTGCACCCTGCAGTCTGTCATAAGAGCAGAGCCAAACACTACACACAAGAACAACTACAAGGTGAAATATAGAGCTAATCACCAGGGCAGCGGGTGTTCATGTTCCAGGATAAATGCCAGTGGTTAGGGGGGGTGACGGGTTAATTGCATTAGGATGTCATTTTGTGAAATGCAAGATGGAGAGGAAAGTCAGAAGCAGTGAAACATTGTGGTGAAAGCAAAGGCTCGATTCATGTCTACTCATAGCCAGTTCTGTCACATGCTAGCACACCAAACGAGTCCTTTCAGTGAAGGTCGAGTCCCTGGGATAACACAGACGTCTTATCTGATGTGCTTGCGAAAGGGTGTCATCACTTGCCTTCACATCCCAGTTGGCTCATGTTGAAACCTTTTCAATGCGACAAAGCAGAGCATTTTAAAAGCAGCATAAAATACGAAAATGAATAAGCGCAGGCATATGACCACAAACCTCACATCGGACACGGTTTCAGGTTGTTTTGTCAAATGTGTCGGCAAATGCACTGAACAGAATCATGCAGATCTCCGCATCCCACTCAAGCCATACATAAAAATAAAAAAGCCTGCAAAGAACGTGGCCAAGAGTGCAAGTAATGGCCAAGTTCATAACTAGACTAAACTGAAATTGACAATGAAAAGAGAGAAAAATTAATTTGAGGGGGCAGTGAGTAAGAGCTTTGTGCTCGGGAGGGCGTCTCATTCTTTCCTTTGTTGATGCTTGGAATAATGTGCACACTGCACATTGTTCCCTGGTAACAGGAAGCAAGTCTCGCAGAATGATGGCAACAAGATTTTCTGGCTTATTACGCAAGCGGTGGTTGCCACACACACTGAATGGTATCTCTAAAAACCTTCCTATTTTTATCCATCACATAAAAAGAAATTCACCCTACCATAAACCACACAAAAAGAACTAAGGACTCTGGGACTGTCATTCCCTCCTGAGGGTGCAATCAATAAGACTATTTTCACGGGCCTGATAGTAATCAGTGCACCCATAATAAACTCACATCTATCACTTCTAAGGTAGCGCTCACAAGAGAACCACAGAGGCTTGTGATGAAATGTAAAAAGCAGATGTCTGAAGGCACAATGAGCATCCAGATACCTTGGAGGGAAGGCAGATGGCATTATCATACCCAGCATCCTTCATCCGTCCAGTTGAAAGGTGTGAAGCAATCAAAATCAGTTTCTAAGGTAAATAAGACACTTTCCACCCAGGAGACATGCTAATGTTACACATATACATGCAGCAGACAATTCTGGAGCTGTTAGGGAGAAAATCGTTCAAGGATTCGGTAGTTTCTAACATGCATTACCCAACGATTACATTTGCCCGGCTAGCAGAACAGCTGGTAAGCCACAGCTGGGTACCGGGATCTCTTTTCAATCTAGGGAATCTTTAACCCCACTCAATGGTGGCATTATCAGTCAAACTACGCATGGTCAAGCAAAACTGCATAGCTGACAGTCTCCGGCACCAGCGAGCAACAGCGTCTGAATTCCGCAGCCAATGACAGCACAGCAAAACCAATGTGACATTCCTCGGCATCACAGCAGCGTGCTGTCCAGCGCTTGACAGATTTTACAGCCCAAACTAAGCCAATAAACACTGAGTGTCCAGAGTCTGAAACTGACAAAGATGTTATTCCAAAAAGTGATAAGAGGGTTGAGCCTGCACTCCGCATCTCAGAAGTGCGAAATGCCACAATTCTAGAAAAAGGGGGCATTCTGACCCAGGAAGTTCACGTCAGCCACTCACTTCGAATGACAATGTATGGTGATAAATTTATGGCTACAGGTTATTTAAGGCACAAGCCAACAGACTTGGCCTGAAGTCTTGCATAAGTAAAGTGTTGCATTCTCCACATCTGACATCACCTTTGACAACTGGCAGACTCCATGTACATATGCAAGTTGTTTTGCGCTTGTTTTCTATTCTTGTCAACCGAACATAAATAAAAATATATTGATGGATCAGCACAGCAAGTCAAAGCAAGCTGTTCATTACAGAATGTGACAATCCCTCCTTAGCACAGGTAGCATATCCATATAACTAGGATTAGTTAGCAACCAATGTCAAAAATGCCATGCAAATTTACATCATAAACTGAAGGCCTCTACACTCCTGCTGATATGATGAGGCTATTGCATCTTATTTAAATGAGTCAATCGAAAATGTGCGCTAACTAGAGTGTCGCAGTGATCGCATATCGATATCAGCAGAATTTTAATCAAAAATGCATGGCAAACAAGGCACGGAGAAATTAGGAGTTGTGCAATTTGACAGGGTTAAACCCTTCTATTAACCTGTCTTCTCCATCCTCTTTCCATAAGGAGGCATGGCAGAGACACTAGTGATGTTCCGTAATGAGAACGAACAACATGAGATTGAGTGAGGGGATATACAGTCTTGGGGAGAAGCACACACTCCAATGCACGATAGCAGCCAAGCTCTCTTAATTCAAAAAATCTATCGCACATGCAGATAAGCACAGACAGATAATGAAAACAGGAAATGAAACCACCGATTAAAGCCATTACTTGAATTAGGATATTCAACCGTTTCTTGTAATGGTTTCAATGGCTGCAGACACTTTTGAACTTATCGTAGCGGTAACACCAGGGCTGTGTATTGTCACATTTGACACAACTGATTTGTCTCAGATTCAAAAACTCTTAATTTGATTTGATATTTATTTGTTTGGACAAATATCAGGTACAGTACATGTCAACAGTCTCTCAACTTGTAATAGTGAGAAATAATGAACAACACTCAACTGTGTAAAAAAAAAAAAAACTGAATTACACATAAGGTAAGCAATAAGCAAAAAAACTCAAAACTGAGTTACATAAAAAGATTGAAATTGCACATATTTTTGTATCACTTTATATCTATGCACATTTTGCATGTCTCCTTATTTAACACACCTGATTAAAATCATCTGCTCATTAGGAGAGAGCTCCATGAACTGAACTGAGTGTGTCAGATAAGGGAGACATACAAAACGGTAGGGGGGGCCCAAGTTGGCACCAGCCAAGTTGTGTGTTTTTTTCTGGACTCCTTTTTAATGGTTAAATTACATTTTATTAATCAAAACGCATGTCTAATTAATTAAAATCATGAAACTTAAACAATTTAACATCAATTTATTAAAAGTTTAACAAATATTACATGTTTAGGACCCTATGAAATGTTTTTATTTTTCCAACCTTATGTTTTATTGTAACCAAATTCTGTTTTAGCATGTCTAATTATTTGAAAGCATAAAACAAGTTTTCATTTATTCTTACAATAGCCTTATGATTTTTTGCTCAGAAATTCTGTGCTGTGGATTTACATTTTGTTTTAAGGCATAAAACATTCATTTAATCTATCTTTTAAGTAATGAAAATTAAACAAATTTGATTTTTTGGAAAATAAAGGTAATTTAATATTACAATTAAAACATTGAAGAAATATTGAATGCTTATTCCTTAAAAATAAGGTTTTAATAATTTTAGTAGCAGTAGTAGCAGCCTGTTACGTACATTCTACTCAACAATAGTAATATATTTCTGCCAATGCCCTCGAATTAAACCGAACTTTTATTTTGACGGGTTGCCGTGAATACCTTTACATTCCTGTGTTTATATGATATGAGGATAGTTTTACTCAAATGAAACGGTCAAATGCTCATGAAGTGACTCTCAAAGCAGTTCTGGAGATGTTGTTCATGTATTTATGTCCTCATTAGTGAGACGGCAGACGTTAATATCACCGGAAGCGTCACGAGCGTTTCACTACGAGTACTACACAAAACCGCGCATCTGCGCCATTCATTAACACAGAGACACGCAGAATTCATATTTAAATATGAATCGTTTTGCGGCTTAATATTTACAAATACTAGTGGGAGTGGGCTCACTGTGTGTGTGTGTGTGTGTGCGCATCGGGCGGAACTCCGCTGTGCGTGATGCAGAGAGCGCGACCATAACGTAGAGACCGAAATGACATGCGGTCGTGTAAATAAGATAAATAACATAAGACTATTTAGTTTGCTTAATAAAAGAACAAGGTATATACCTGTTCTATAGGAAAGGTCACTTTAAATGACTTCTGTTGTGATCTGGCGCTATAGAGAAAATATAATTAAATATTAACTTGACCTTCAAGGGGGGCGGGGGGTGTCGTTGGGGGGGGCGGGCCGCCCCCCTAATATAATGGCAGGGAAACACTGCACTGGCATAAGTCATACACTAACATACTCTGTAACGAACACATCGCTAAAAGGTTAGCATCAAAATAACAAAAATATAATAAATATCAAATATATTGCATATATTTAGTAAAATGCTCCTATATGGAGTAATTTGTTCTAGCTAACTAATGAGCTATGGACATTGAATGGCTTTCTTAGGGTAAATGTAACCTTATGTTTTATGTTATTATACAAGCTGTTTGCCATGGCTGAAACACTGATTGAGAGATTAAATGAGACATTATACATTTCAGTAAGTTGTACCATTACTTTGAACATACTTTCTGATGTTCATTCATGTTTATTTCTAGCTATAACTAGTAGTACTTCAAAAAAGATGATTATTGGATAGACAGCAAATTAAAGTAATGTTTAATGAAGTTTTGTTCACACAGAAAACAGCATAGACTAAAAGATTTTTCTTGGAATTTAAGAACTGATGTTAGTTCATCAAACTAGTTAACACGCTTCTCTTTTTTGCATACCTTGCTTGCGGACATCCTCCACTGCTGCGGTCAGCTCGTCCTTTAAGAACTGGCTCTCTTTAGCAATCTTCTCGCCTTTCTCCAGGAAGTTCTGGGTGGCTGTCTCCACGGAGGCTGCTAGAACATGAGCCTTCTTGGAGCGTCCCTTCTTCTTGTTGGATGGTCCTTTGTTGCTAGAGTTCACAAGTGTGGTGACCTGCAAAGGGTGCAAGAAAGATTTAAGGAAAACAGCAACCTTTGGTGATTAATACAACAACTGAGGATGAATATAGGAAAAGTAGCCTGACCTGGGTAACCAAGGGCTCCAGCAGTCTTTCCACAGCCAGTGTGCGGATCTCCAGGCTCTTGGGATCCCATTTGAAGTTGATGTTTGCTGTATTAATGCTTGTCATTATTCTGAGGAAAGAAAAAGCGATCAATGGATTAAGAGGGGTGGTGAGACAGAGACAAATAAGCGGCCTGGGGCTATGTCTTTTATCAAATTAAATGTCACATGACAGATTCATGGTAAGTGTACGCAATAACTTACGATGTAAACAATCCACACTGCTAACCAAAACTAACCCACACTTATGCCATCTGAGTAGCTCTGTTGCCCATTCTGCTATTTTCCATTCAAACAGTGACCGCAGTTGTATTGATCAGCAATCTTGCACTGAAGGACAGGGACAATCAGCCTACCCTGAGGGCTCTGCTGTTGTTGCAGGGGTCTGTCTGCACTAGACAGCCAGACTAAATGGACATTGTTTGCTATATAGGTCAGGGAATGCAGACAAAGTGGGCGAGGTCAGTGTTGCATGACCAACATACTTGGAATAAAACCTTTGAATTCAAATGTGTCCTACAAAAAGTTAGGACATTCAACTTTGGCCCAAACAAACTAAATAATACATGAGCATTTTTATAATAATAAAAAAAACTACATGAAATGAAACTAAATGAATGAGTAATTTCCATATATACATGCTCATTGGGTGGAAAATGTTGTTATTTAGTTGATTACTATCAAAAAAAAAAAAAAAAGTAAGAATAGGATTCCGGAGGTAAATATCCCATTCTCTTTCTAAATCAGGAAATTGATTTTTAACAATAACTTATAAACTGTTAAAGTAAAGAAAGACTGTTAAAGACTAGGGATGGGTATCGTTTACATTTTATAGATACCGTTACTGTTATTGATACTATTTGGTGCAAAAAAATATGAAGTGAAAAGTTGTTGAAAAATTTAAAAAGTTATTTTATTACTGCTGAACTTAAGCAACTGTATTAAAGTTCTTCAGTCAAGAGCAGTGAGTTATTTTTCTCTTTAAATATCTTCTTTTGTGTTCAGCGCAAGAATAAATAAAAATTAATACGTTTGGTACAACATGTCTGAGTAAATAATGACAGAATTTTGGGTGAACTAACCCTTTAATGACACACGGCAGTATGTTTAGTACTGCTGCTTTAAGAGCTGCACGCATCTGTTTTTCTCTCAACTGTTTACTTTCACTTTAGACATAATTAACTGTGTTTATATGTAAATCTTGTGTGTTTTTGACAGTATTAGCGCAATCATACGATAACTAAGATAACTAAGTAATCAGGTGCTGTTTGACCGGCCTTTTAGTGTATGCACGCTTCGGGTGTACGCGCTCTGAATAAGCACATGTTAGAACAGCACGCGAATAAAACGTTTAACCGGCAAGGCTTTAAAG